TTTTGTTTATACGCAATATGTTATAATAAAAACAATATTAATAAATCCAATAAACAGTAATTGAAAAAAAAAATATATATACATAATTTCAATGATATTACCTGACAGAATTAAATTACATGTTCTTTACGTAGTTTTAGGTTAGTTTTAAGTAGGTTTACAGTAACTGAGTTGGTAGCAAAAGTACCAAATTACATATTAAAAATTCGTTTTTTAATTATTATTAAAAAATGAACGTTTCTACATAGAATAAAGTATGATTCAAATGATTTTTACGTTCGCAATTTTCCCTCATCATTATAAATTTTGTACAATATTATAAATCGTATTGTTTCCTTATAAAAAAACATATCCTTTCATGCAAATTTATTCCTTTATATTTATTAAAGTTTTTAAAATCAGAAGATTAAAGCATTAAACGTAACGGTTTTTAAGCATTATGACCACCATGAGGACGTATTTTACCAAAATAATGACTTCGTAACTAGAAGCCAACATAGTTATTTATAAATGAAATATTCATCCGCCCAGTTCGAAATTAATTTATGTGCATATAACTGTTGCCTTGAATAAGATCAAATAAATTATTGAATGTTTGACAAGGTTATAATTGAAATTCATTGTTAAAATGTCCACATCCATGATCTCTATACCATTAACGTCTGGGAAAATTTTATTAATGGAAGTGCATTGTAGATGAGGACTTCATGAAAGGAAACAGTAAAAAAGCACGCCATAATTTCATTTCATGTTGTTTTCAAATGGTTTGATTTTATCGAAATTCCCTTTTAGTCAAATAACACATGGCAATGTTACCTTTTCCCATAGAGAAAGAAAAAATGTTCATGCACCGTTTACATTATATCTGCTTTTCAACTTACGACCAGTTCAATTACAATACATACCAAAAATAATTTGTTTTAATTAAAAGAAAAAAAGTCAGACAAACGTAGGAATATGTCTACATAAAATTGGACTAATAAATAGATAAATCGAAAATGACCAATTAGATAAGAGTATAAGACGTCAATACTTCAGGAGGTATCTAAACTCGAGTTTTTATCTTATAAATGATTTTTTACTATGAATCTCGCAGAGTTTTCACTGCTCTTTCCATTTAGTAACAATTTATACTAGGATTAACCTTTTATGAGACAGGGGAATGTATGGAAATAAAAACTGTGAAAGGTTGAATTAAAATGAAAAGAAAATATCTCGAAAACTATCGATAATCATTCTGTGAACAATAAATAATTTTTATTAACAGTATTAATTTTAAGATGTGGGACAACCTCTTGAAGAAAAAACGTCACTTCACGAGACATCGTATTTATCTAATCTTTAAATTCATCTAAACACAAAATAATATTGAGTGCATGGGCTAAATACTATAATTTGTGGGTTCTGTATTGTCTGCAGAGTAGTAACTGAATTTTGGTCGCTACCGATCATTTTGGTCTGCTTATCCTCCCGGGGTTGGAGATTTGTACATATGGCCATTTCGCTTTCTACAGTGTGCCCGTGATTATTTAATTGAAATTATTAATATAAATTAGAAATTAGAATTACGAGACCTCCAAGGAGACCTCTGGCCTTGGATGATCAGGGAGAGTCACCCACCTTGGTGCCTGAGCGACTCCGAGGTTGGGCTATGATCGGGCGCCATCGACTTCTTTGGTCATATAGGCGCCCTTACGTTCCCTAAAAATAGTCGTTCTCACACTCACTCATACAATAAATACATACATACTCCTATATACAAACCCAATCACTCATGCATATCCTCTGTCTAGAATCCGGGTCGGAGGGTACTCGATATTCCGCCCCGACCCGGCTTGGCGGAGCAGCGGTGGAGCCTTGAAATGATATGATGCACCGCCGTCCAGCATACTCCTATTCTAACATAAACTTAACCTAAACTTTAACCTATGAAATAAATACCCCACTATATACAACCCATTATCCCAATATCTCTCAAAAACATAAAAAGTTTTTCTTTAAACTCTCTGCTATGCTCGAGCATTTTCCTATAGTCCGGCGGTATTCCATTCGGTCCCTTATGAGGCCAAGCTGCACACCCCCCATCACGTGCGACACCGTGAGTCTGTTACCTTGGCATGCTGGGCACCTAGGTCGACCAACAGGTACCCATGAGTCGCACATGTGTGACCAATCCGCAGGCGGGTCAGACAACGCTTTCCCTTCGAGATATTCCCTTCGGGCTCCACCGGTTGACCGTCGGTTTGACGGACACCAGCGCGTCAGTCGAGTCGGCCCAACGACGCTTCCACTTTTCTAATATATTTTTCACAATTCTCTTAGCTGAATCAGGGTGGTCTCAACATCATCACTGTGAGGAACGAGAGTACCCGGCTTCGCGACTAGGTCCGCTCTCTCGTTCCCCTCCAGTCCGACGTGCCCTGGAATCCAGGCTAAATCTACCCTTTTCCCGACGCGCACAATGTCCGTATATTTTAATTGGATTTTTCTCACCAGTGAGTCCCGTGTATAGGGGTTGAAATTATTGATAAATTAAGGTTTATTAAAAAACTAGTACTCTTTTCGTTTGACTTACTAAAATGGCCATATTTGGCCAAAGGTTTCCCGGTAAAAAGTAACAACATCGAGGATTTTGAAATGACAATTTTCCAAATTTTATCAATGTTTATATAATCTTCTGCTGAAACGAGAAAGCAAACACAAAACTGTCTGGTAAAATAACGAATCAAAATTTACAATTTATATTCAAAATATTTCATATATTATTTAAAAAATATATAAAATTTAATATACTCTACAGTTGCTCCTTTTTCTACTGTTATTTGTTTTTCACGTCTTCATATAACGATCCTGTGTTTCTTTGTTCATGTACCTAGTTATTTATGGAACTGCTTTTATTTCTTGATTACTAGTTAGTTAGTACTAACAGAAAATAAAATAAATATTTGCAATTTATACACAATTTCAGATTTACAATAAGAGAGAAATAGCGATAATTCAAGACCGGCTAAACGGATTTGAACGTCAAACAAAACATTTGAAAGAAGAGGGACGTAGCTTTTTAACGTCCCGTGTATCATAAAATATACATCAAATTTTTCTAAAAGAAAATACACAAAATAGGGAAATTATTTGTCAGAAATTGACCTTGTTTTTAAATGGAAATAATAGTCCGATTTTAATGTTTAATACATTTATAAAATGCACATAATAATTTTTTTAAAACAAATCATCAATCATGAAAATTGGTTATCTAAGTTTTGAGAAAAATTATGTCAGAGATTCCGAGGTCGTCGAAATTATCGGGCAAAAAATAAATTTACACCGATTTACACGAAAGTCGGTATCTAAGGGTTTCATAATGCTAGAATCACGACAATGAAGTCAAATTCAAATTTTGACCATTTTCTGATGTTCTTTGCTTACAGAATGTTTGTCAAAATATGCAAAAAAAGAAGCAGTATTTAGTTGATTTATCTTTTTAAATCATACAAAATTATATTAACCTGCGTCGTGGAACTTTTTTATTTTTATGTTAATCAACGATGCAATTATTACACGAAAAATAATATTTTAGTAATCTATAAAATCTATATTTCAGCCTCCCAAATCAGATTTGCTGAAGGAAAGTTAAACGCCTATCATAATCAGAGTTCCTGGATCAGATTTGAGCGACTGCTTAAAATTGTAAATCGGATTGCATCCGTAATTTCTATTTGGTAAAAAACCTAAAACCAAATCCAACGTTTCGGAGTGAGGAATTCGGAATTTCGCGAACATATAGAATATTCAGCTCCTAGACGAAATTTTCGGTTTCTTTTTGCCACAATTTTGTCATTTTTTGACCACTTTAAAATCCGATTGCGCTATTATTTTCAGCGTAAAACTATCTGTCAGGATGAATAGGGTTGTATTCGAAATTTTCAAGTTGAGCCTGAGGTACCTGTACAATTTTTCTAGAAAAAAAGGTAAAAGTTTGAAACTAGACTAAAAAAATATTAAACACGTATTTTTTGTGTTTTTTCATTTCTTTTCAAGAGAAATTCAGCCTGGTCATCTAAAAAAGGGCCCCTGTGTATAGTTATAATATTAAGTCCACTAATTTCATGGTCCGCTTGACCAATTAATATATTACAATTAATTAAGGTTTTTAGTTGAGATAAAACAGTCAATGGCACCTCACGAAGTCACGATAGCTCAAGTGGTAGAGCAGCGGCGTATCTAGCCGAAGATCGTGGGTTCGAAGCCCGCTCGTGCCATTGACTTTTTTATCTCAACTAAAAATCTTAATTAATTGTAATATAATATTAAGGTTGATTTCAATCAAATCAAGCAAAATAGCATGCTGCTTAAATTTTTTTCTACGTTTAGTAGTTTTTGAAACAACCAGGGGGGAACTAGACATTCCATTCGACAAATTTACCATATACTTTATCATATTTCCAAGTATATATATCTATCTGAGAGAAAATTTAACGATGTGTTGTGGTATGGGTTTTGGTGAAAAAACAATTTCATCTAGTATCTTTTCATCAGCTTTTCTGTAGGAAAATCTATTCATCTAAACATCTTTAGAATGTATTGACTGTATATATCTAAATTTATTATGCAATTCTTTTTACATTAACTCTTTCATTATTTATTTGTCTTTCGAACCATGTACATGTTTATTTTTGTATCCTTCCCAGTATTTATTTTTTTCGCCATATATATAATATTATTTCAACGTCAAAAAAAGCAATAGTTTCATCATTGTGAAGCTTATTTTCATGCACCGTGGATAATTTATAAATATTATTTTCTAGTATATAACTTTTGTGGTTTAAGTGAAAAAACAAAAACAAACTAGAATGGTTTATTGCCTACTTACTTTTTCGTCACAACTGGAATATATATAGCCTAATTTGAATTATTCTAATTAAAATTTCTTTTGTAAGACAGCGAGGGAAGGATGAGGCTGTTCCGGAGTTTCCTTAATGATATATGACTTTTTTTTCCAGCGTACGCGGCAGTTCCGGCGAAATCCTGATCAACGGCGTGGACAGGGGGAAAATCGGATTGGAAGAATTCAAAAAGGTGTCCACTTACATACAGCAGGACGACGTCGTCAGGCCGTTGCTGACCGTGCACGAAGCCATGGCCATTGCGACCCACCTCAAACTCGGCTGCAGCATAACAAACTCGGACAAAAATAACAAGGTGAGACAATAACAAGAAACCTACTCTCAATCGGGCAATTTGTTTAGGAAAATTGATTTTTTTACTAATCAATCTATGAACAGATTTATTTCAGCTATTGGAAATAATTTATTTTTAATTATTACACTTGATTGTAAATTTCCAATGCCATTAAGTTTTATTCATTATTAAAGGCTTTCTGATCTAATTTTTAATTGATTATAAATAAATAATTGGTAAATTAGGCAATTAATATATTTCTACTGTTAAAATGATTTATGATGACAATGCTCTTATGGATGACAAGCCAATGCTCATAAAAAGCCGAATAAACTCCACAACTTACAATGTAACAAATTGTCATGAGCCTTGACTACATTTTTACGATCATCATAAAATGGATAGCCTTTGAACGAAACTATTTATAAGTGGTTAATAAAGGTTCATTAGTTTTTTCTTCTAAGACGAGCTCACTTCTCAATTCTTTTAAGAAATGCGTAATTGCCTTAACTGATTTAATAAAAATGTAAACGATTGAAAATTGCTGTTATTAAATAATTTAATAATTAAATCTGTTATTTAAAATCGGTAACCTGTGGATAATGTACTGTTGAATCTTGAAGGTGATTTTTCTCATCCAGCATGATTGGCTTAATTACAGTGACGATGTACGCATCACGGCATTAAACAATTTGCACATGATTACGCAACATGTTAAGAACCCTGTGCAAAATAACGTGCGGTGAATTATAATTTAGATATTTAACGTGGTTGTATAGGTTACCTCGGTTAACTTACATATATGTACATGCCTCTTTTCTTACTTTTTTCAGGTACGTTTGGAATCAAAGTTGTTGATTAGTCAATTTATTATTGTTTCTAAGGTCTTGGTTGAGAGAAAAAAAAGTCAGTGTCACGAGCGGGATTCGAACCAACGACTTTTGGCTCAGTACGCTGCTGCTCTAACCACTTAGTCACGATAGCGAATGTCGTGGGTTTGAATCTCGCTTGTGACACTGACTTTTTTATCTCAACCAAGACCTTAGAAGGGATAATTAATTGATTGAAGGGTTTTGATTTAAATGAAAAAGCTAGTGTCACGAGCGGGATTCGAACCCACGACCTTCGGCTCAATGCCCCGCTGCTCCAAACACTAAAGCTATCGTAACTACGATCCAATCGGACACGAATTCCCCATCTCAACTTACAACCTCTCGAATTTTCCCTCCTTTTTGCCATTTTTCATCGGTGTCCGAGTGGATCGAAGTCACGATAGCTCAAGTGGTTAGAGCAGCGGCGTATTGAGCCGAAGGTCGTGGGTTCGAATCTCGCTTGAGACACTGACTTTTTTTTATCTCAACCAAGACCATAGAAGGAATAATTAATTAATTGAAGGATTTCGGTTGAAATGAAAAAGCTAGTGTCACGAGCGGGATTCGAACCCACGACCTTCGGCTCAATTCGCCGCTGGTCTAAACACTTGAGCTATCGTGATTTCGATCCACTCGGACACCAACTCCCTATCTCAACTTACATCTCGTATTTCCCTCCTTTTTGCCATTTTTCAAACGGACCACGAAAACTAGTGAACTTAAATATTACATACACAAATTATTGTTATGTATGTTATAAATACATTAAGATACAAATCTATACAAAAATAAAAAATAAAATGTTCCAAGAATAAATACAACTCAAAGAAAGATACAAAGGTGCACAAATAAAAACAGGATACTAGTACAAAAACATAAATGTACCAAAGTCACAAATCAACTCAATAAAAAAGAAATACGATTTGTTAAAAATTTGCAGCAATCATTACCGACTAACACACAAACGAACCCCCCGAAAACCGATTCGATTTTCGGCGACTTATGAAGTGGCCACGGGATACTGTTAGCGAAGTGAATACATAGGTCTATATATGCACTTAATAGCCATAATTGACTGTATTAATTATTTAACGACAGTAGAGTCTAGTTGGTGTCCCAGTGGATCGAAGTCACGATAGCTCAAGTGGTTAGAAGGTCGTGGGTTCGAATCCCGCTCGTGACACTAACTTTTTCATTTCAACTAATATCTTACATAAAGATTGGTCTTTTTGTTGGATTCTGAAATCTTTTTTTCTTGAAGTCAGTTAGATATGAACTGATAATTAAATACTGCTTTGATAGGATCCCTTTTATCTTACTGATGAGTCCTTGATGCCCGACGTTGTCAAAAGCTTATGAGACATCTAGGAAGATAGATCTATTTTGCTTTTCTTCGAGTGATTTTTGATTATGTCCGATCCTCGGTGAATTTGGCCTATTGTTGAATTATGGGTAAGAATCCAAAAATTAGTCGTCATTGATGATTTTCCTTTTTTCTTTAATGAGTTTTATTCTTTTTAGTAATCACTTTTCCAAAAAATATACATTAGAAAATGTCGGTGGTAGCAATGTTTTCCATATGATTCGACCTTGTTTGCCAGGTCCCTCGGTTTTTGTGTCATAATTGCGTCTGCGAGTTTCCAAATGCTGGAACATATTTTTGATTAAATAGGTATGTTAATTCAATTAACCCTTATTCTGATTTTTTTAAATATTTTTCCAGTGATGTGGTTCTGAACAAATGACCTATTAAAGTTTTAATGCACTTTTAGTTTCTTCCGTTTGAAGATAGTCTATGTTGTAAATTGGCTAGTTTAAACGAACTACTTTCGATGTAGTCTGATGAAGTGTAAAATTTGATATTTATACTACATCTCCTCCAGATAAGTGTTGTACGGCATGCAATTTGTACGATAAATCAGAAAAGAGGAAAAGTCTTTTATCTTAAAGGTTAGTAATTAAAAAGGAGGACAAGACGACTCCCGCCTTTTTACCCTGGAGTTTAAATACGGTTCGTTATTTACTTATGAACGACGTTTTGCTCAATCGAGCTTGATATTTGAGATGTGCCCTAGGGAAATGTTAATGTAGTTGATTGGTATTAACGGTCTGTCAGGCAAAGTAAATCCGTCAATTAGCAAAATCCATGTAAAAAAAGTCAACTCTTACTCTTTAATTGGCTTTATTAAGAAATGTTTTAAACCATTTCATACCTAATGTAAATCAGGACTCGCTAATTGGCTGGGTTGTTATCATTTCACCACGGAGTTGACGAACGTGAGAAGGGTTTAAATATTAACTTGTTACATTCCCCTCTTTTTTTGCTATATTCGCTTACAAGGGGAGATAACAGACGTGGGTGATTTCCGTGAAACTTTATTTGGTTATATACAAGGTCGAAAAATATTAGATACGTGTCGCTACGTTTTTATCAGTGGTCTCTAAGAGACGAGAAACTTACTATCTTAAGTAAATTGAATGATCTTTTGTTTAAATAATATTTTCTATTTTTGCTGGCATTTGAAGATGATATTTAATATTTGAAGCAATTCACCTAGTTTGCTACGTCGCAAAATTAATTATGCATTGCAGTTACATAGCTAGCTCGAATTTGCTCGCAGATTGATTCCTTTTTTGTTTTTGGAACGTTGGTTTAAAGAAAAAATTAAGCACAAACAATTCTAATATTAGTCTTCTTTGCCCAAGAAATTCCTGAATAGAAGTTCTTGGGAAAATAGTTTTTATTCAAATTTGTCAATGACACTTGGCCGATTTGTTCAATAATAACCATAATAATCCATTTATGTACAGTGGTCTAATTGACCAAATTACTTATTTCAATTATTCTTTTTATGTAAGGTCTTGGTTAAGATGAAAAGTTAGCGTCACGAGCGGGGTTCGAACTCACGACCTTCCGCACAATACGTCTCGGTAGCTCAAGTGGTTAGAGCAGCGGCCTATAGATCCGAAGGTCGTGGGTTCGAATCCCGCTCGTGACACTAATTTTTCATCTTAACCAATAACTTACATAAGAAGAATAACTAATTGAAATAATCATAGTTTTTCTTTTTCATTATAAATCCTTTCACAATTTACAACCAAATGTGGACTTTAATTTAAAATATAAATAAATAGCTAGGGTATAAATTATTGAAAAATATGGGAACAGGAGTAACAAAATTCATACTTAACTTACACTAAGAAAGGAGAATTTATGTACATGGAATCACGTATTTTTAGGTGATTTTTCTTTATCAAGAAACAAACTAGCTAGTCTGTGTTCTTTACACCATAAAAAACGCTGAATACAAATTTTTGGGAAAATCGTTAATAATAATCGTTAATTTAAAGATCTATCAATTACTCGTAAAGGCAAGTTTTGATCTATGCCGCCAATAGGAAATTTAAAAAATGCCCCTTTGGGGTTTTAACTGATAAGTGATAAAAAATAGAGCATAATGTGGTCACATTCACTTGTCTTCAGTACTCGACATTCCTCAGGGCGTGGTCAAACAACCTTTAGCTCTAATAAATTACATTCATTCCAATAAATTAACATAAAGACGACATAGACACTTCATAAACATTACGCTTAAGACTATACAAGGTGTTCGGACACTCGTGTTACAAAATTTGCCATTAGATTCTACATTCAAAATAGAACCAAAAAGTAGTAGTTAACTATGTTCCGAATCTCAGCAGTTTCGGAGTTATTCCTCTTTGCTGATTTTTTAATATTTCACGGCCTTGCTTCAAATAAACAATGATAACTCCAACACTAAAACATTTTGGGCAAATTCGTTGATTCCATTGAAAACAACGTTAAATTTCCAATAAGATGAGATCAATATTATGCATGTAAACATTCGTAAAATAAGTGTTTTAGTAGAGAGAAGTTTGATAAGTTTTTTTTTTCAAAGTTGAAAAACTTTCTATGGTGATTCTAAACTAGTATTTCCAAACCTAGAGACCAAAAAATGTAATCTCCTTTTTAGTGGTGTAATTGCTTTTTTAATTAATTTTTTGTAAGATGAAGAAATTGAGGAAGGAAAAGAAAAAGCCGTGGTTGAAGGATTAAAAAATTGATGGTGGAAAGGAAATAACCGTGGCTGACGGATTGATATGGTGAAAAAAATTACAAAAAAGTTT